GCCCCGGCCGGGCGGGAGCTGGGGCGGCGCCGCCCGCCTTGGGCGTTTGGCTGCCGGTCCGCGCGTTGAAGCACTGCCCCGCGGGAGACGCCTTAAGGGACGCTTGCTTGCAGACGCCAGTCGCGTTCTCTGGAAGAGGGCGGGTGGTGGCTTCCAGGGGGGTCGAGCGAACTGCTTTTGACAGTTTTGAGGGTGCCAGGACCTAAATGAACGTACGTTTTTTCTTCCTACCACCTCTTCTTGTAACCCGTCCTTCCCTTACATGTTTCCCCTAGTAACATACTTTCTTTTTTGCGAGCTCTGTGACAGTAGACTGACTGGGATGGCTTATCTTCCTGTGAAACACGCCAGGTGCAGAATACATAATGCCACATCAAAAGCGTGTTGCCCACATGACACAATACGCTGATGCAAGCTTGTGCCAGGGGAACCTTTTTTACAATTTTTTTTTTTTTTTAAAGGAAACTTTGTCACAGGAAACTTCTGTCGAGTTAAGTCTCTATGATGTGGAGGGCTGTAGTTTCACGAGCAGTTGAGCAGCTGCTACTGCCACCAAAAATTGGAGGTCTTTGCTGCTGCTTCTAGCCGCATCGTACTTTACCGGAGCTGCACAGGTGAATGGGGCTCACAGGGTACTGAGCTGTTTTAACTCAACTGATGAGTTCGTTTAGTTTGGTTTTGGCCAAATTAGTGAGCTAAAGCAGCTCATGGAGCTTTGGACCACCCCAAGGTACATGGCAGGAGTGAATGGCTAGCAGCAGGGTTTGAAAGGGGAGGTGAATGCAAATAAAAAGGGGGAACTGCCATCGCCTTTTGGATTGGCTTAATATCTTACAAAAAGAAACCCCGTATTTATGCTACATTGAGGATTGCAAACAGCATAAAACGAGCATAAAAGCATGGTTTTGAGTGTTCTGGTGAGCTTGACATGTATGAAGTAGCATGCCTAATTTGGATGAAATTTATAGTGCTATGCCAGTCCCTTCCATGATGCGCAGATCTGGTATTAATGAGGGGCATTATACATTAGTTGCTTATCTTCAACTTCTGAGAAATTCTGCACACCCCAGGCTTAAGGCCCATTACTCCACCAGACTGACAGTGATTCAGAAACGAAGTCAAGTGCTTGATAAGAGTTACTACTTAAAAATATGTTGTTTTTTGCCAAGGGGTGGAAACTCATCGTAAGGCTTTGTCATGGTTTAGCCCCAGCCAGCAACCAAGCACCACGCAGCCGCTCGCTCACTCCCCCTACCCCGATGGGATGGGGGAGAGAATTGGAGCAGTAACAGTGAAAAAAACCACTCCTGGGTTGAGATAAGAACAGTTTAATAATTGAAATAAGGTAAAATAGTAATGATAATAATAACAATACAATAATGATAATAATAATATACAAAGCAAGCAACGCACAATGCGATTGCTCACCACCTGCCGACCAATACCCAGCCAGTTCCCGAGCAGCGATCGCTGCTCCCCGGCCAACCCCCTTCCCCAGTTTCTATACTGAGCATGACGTCACATGGTATGGAATAGCCCTTTGGTGAGTTTGGATCAACTATTCTGGCTGTGCCCCCTCCCAGTTTCTTGTGCACCTGGCAGAGCATGGGAAGCTGCAAAGTCCTTGACTAGCATAAGCAGTACTCAGCAACAACTAAAACACCAGCGTGTTATCAACATTCTTCTCCTACTAAATCCAAAACACAGCACTATGCCAGCTACTAGGAAGAAAATTAACTCCATCCCAGCCGAAACCAGGACAGGCTTAAATTGGGAAGTTCTGGTGGTGTTTTTCTTAACTACTGTCTCCAAAAGTGTTCTTTCTGCTGGTGAACTCTTTTTTCCCTTGAGATTACTAAGCTTAGTTTTAATGAAATGATATTTCAATGGAATAATTTTCAAGCTGGAATAAATGTAACTAAGAAGTTATTCAAATTCATAAAATTTTTGTTACCTGAGTTATTAAGGTTCATAGCTGCTTGCGGTATTCCTCTTTGTAGAGGGCGAGTTTGGTAAATTGATAAGCTTTGTGAATATGTATGAAAGTATCTGGTGTGTCTCTGTTACTTTCCAGTTTCTTTTTCTAATGTGGTTTAGTGTGGCAATGTCAGATATTTCTCCAAATGTGGATTTGTAGTAAAGTCTTCCAAAATGATATGATTTTCCATAATGTAGAAGAAAAAAAACATTTTCTTTATACTGCTACTTAAATACATTCCAGGAAGAAATCTTGTAAGTTGTGTGAACTACAGACATAAACTTTTTTTTAATCAGAATGGTTGGAGTGTCTTGTATGAGACTGAGCACTAGAGGCTTTTTTTTATGGAAAGTTGAGAAATAATACTGAATATGGTTTGCAGCAGACAGCTATGCTGCTGGTGTTCCAGTCACCTTATACATTTGGAGATGGCTAATGCATGTTTTACTAAAATGAAATGTAATGCAATTTGGGTACGGATGGAGATTTTTGTTAATCGGAAAAAGTCTCTAGGCTGTTTGTATAACTTAGACTACTGTAGTGGCAAGGCCTGTCATTCAAAACTGGGGCTCCATAATTTCTGGGAGGCAGGTTTTATTTTGTAACATTGATTATATTTTAGCCAAAAGTATTTAAAACAAAGTACATAAATTATTATTCTTATTACATATTTCCCTCGTCCATTTTCTGTAACTCATGAAAGAGAAATAATGAGAAAGGATAATCTTGTGTTTTGTTTTGTCTTAGAAAAAATGTAGAAGATTTCACTGGACCTAGAGAACGAAGTGATCTGGGATTCGTCACATTTGACATTACGGCAGATATCCTTAATGGAAAAAATGGTTTGCAAACATTTTGAAATAAGAACATCTTGACATCTATTTTTGTTATCTAATAATCTTCAGATATTCAGAACTTGAGGAAAAGTAGCAATTTGTCTTAAAATATAAATTTAAAGCAGTGAAAAGTAGCATTTCACATAGCTAGGGCAGTAAAATAGAACTTGCAGTAGCTGTTCTATCTCTGGTAGGTGATACAGGGCAAGTTGTTTTCTCTCATTTTTTTAATGCCTGTTTTTAAAATCAGGCTCTGTAGTGAAGTGCACTATCTAATAATGGAAGTGCAGTTTAACATCTGGACAGTGTTACTGTTAAGTGAACTCTGTGTTGGTGGTTTGAGGTGTTAATTAATTATAGGGTTCATATAACATAGTATTTTGACTGTCATACTGAATCTAGAAACTCCGATGCACCCTTCAAACTCATTTTGTTGTGAGGCTTTCAAAGTTCTGGCCATGTAGTAGTTGCATACAAGTACCTGTCTTCCTTTAAAAATAAAAAGACATTGTAATCCTTTACTTGCTTACATGTTAAACTATTAAATCTTTAACATTGAATAGTACGGAATTTCTTGGGAAGCATATGAGATACTACAAAATTTATCACATTACTTTTTGGCCTCTTTCTCATTGCTGTTACCTTTTTGCAATTTTTCTTTTGTATTTCTTTGCTTCCCTGTTAGTCTGGTTTTTATTGGGGAAAGAGGGTTGTGCGTGGGTAGTTTTGTTTGGTTCTGTTTTGGGTATGTTTTTTGACAGTAGAAGGGAATCATTCTTAGGATTTAGTGTCTTGATATTAAAAAAATCTGGTTTTCTGCAGAAGTCTGTACCAAATATGAGGCAGCATGCTTTATTTCAGGTGATTACACTAAGCCTTGCTTTGCAGCTGGGCTGAGATTCCTGGGATTTTTCCCTGTCTGCTGTTTTTTGTCACTGTGTTAAGCAAGACATCAATTAGCTCTGTGTTTTGGTTTGCCTGTTTTGGAGAATACTACATTGTGTAAGCAAACTAAACAAAATACAAATCTTGAATGCATGTGAACACTGGATAAACAGGTTAATCAGATTTTTGCAGGTGTTGCACAGGAATAAGAGGGATTTTTTTTTTTAATCAGCTGGAAGCAGGAGAGGTGAACTCCTAAGTCTGAGTTTTACCTCTGAAATGCTTATACATATTAAAACCAGAAACTAACATTCTAAAGTAGATTAATTGAATTGTACGCAGTGCATATAGGGGGAGGAAGAGCAAGGCAGGACAGGATCTCTAAAATAAATGTTCTTATGCAAGGATTAGTCTGCAGTACGTGGACATAAAGATTCCTTGTTTTAATGACTTTTAATAGTAATAGTAGTTTTAATTTTTTTTTTATAAAAACTCTGACTTAATCTTTCATGCCTAAATAAACCTTGCAGTGTGTAGAGTTGTAAAACACAACTTTCTGGTAGATTTTTTTGGACAAAATTTGTAAAGAGATAATGGTACATGGGCTCTTTTAACGAACAGAAATGAGTTGTTAGTCCAAGGAAGAATTAAATAAAATGCCAGTTAGAAAAACAAACTAGGGAAAGGAAAGGGGAGTACACAGTTTTCACAAACTCATTTTAGCCTACTTAATTCATGGCTAACTGTAGCAAGTGTTAAGAAATCCTACAAAGGAGATCTTCGGAATCTTGTTTGTTTTGAGTTAAATGATGTTCAAGTAAAATAGCTCCAGCCATTCTTACAGCAACAGCAGTTAATTATTTAATTCTTTCCTTACTTGCCTTTTGAATCAGTGGCTTAAAAACATGATTCAGTCTTGGAATGTGTGGAACAAAACAGAACAGATTAGCTCCAGCCATTCTTACAGCAACAGCAGTTAATTATTTAATTCTTTCCTTACTTGCCTTTTGAATCAGTGGCTTAAAACATGATTCAGTCTTGGAATGAGTGGAACAAAATAGAACAGATTTTGAGACTGTTTGGGGAATGTGTTTAATTTATTCTTCAAGATAGTGGCAAACAGAATAAAAAGGACTGTGAAATAAAAGGTTACAGCTAATCTTTATTGTGTGTTAAAAGGTCTTTTCCTTAGCAGTCACACATGGTGCATTTTATTGCTAAATAAACAGACAAGTATTTAGCATATCAGCTTTATTATACTGCCAATGTCAAATGGCAGTCATCAGTTCTGTCCTGTTGATCAAAAATCTGAGCAGAGTTTTGTTCCAGTCTAATAAGTTGACTTTCTTTGTAGTAAATAGGTAATTAAATTTGCTAATTCCTGGTGTCCCTTTCAATATGAAATACTTCCCATCTACTGTCTTCTCTAGTGTGGGTATTACAGGCTCTTTGAACTCTCTACAATCTGCCAATTTTGTATTTATATATTGTTTAATGTTATTGTATCTCAATCCACAGTTAGATACCAGGATTCTTTGGTAGTATAAATAATTGCTTTGAAGATATTTGCTGAAGAATTCTGTCTTGCCTTTTATGTTTAAAGTTTTATAATAGATTGTCTAGCAGTGGGTTGTGGTTACTAGCTTGCAGGGTCAAATATAGGACTCTTAAATCATTGGAGGAAATAGCTGTTGGATTTCATAAATAGTAAAAAAGAAAACCAAACCAAAAACCTGTCGCTTTAATATGATTAAAATATGTATTAGAACTCCTGGAAGTGCTCTGATTTATAAATAAGATGAGGTATGTTGAAAGGTAAGAACTCACTGTAATTATCGTAGTCTGTTTAGATCTAGTAAAAATAAAACAAGGTTATGTAAGTACAATATGGTATTTTTCTTAACTCGCATACATCTGCAGAGTATATTTGACTGGAATGTTAAACAATTGTTTCTATATTTGTCTGCAGAATATTCAACGAAAAACAATGTAAGTATCAAAAAGAAAGTTGAAGCAATTACCCGTTTTGTACTGCAGCTATTTTTAACATTCTGAAGTTCTGCTGGGAAGAGTTAAGGCACCAGCATTTCCTACTAGCTTGGACTATTTTTACTGGCCTTCGTGATTGTTATTTTCTTGACAGTTTAACTGCAGGGTGGGAAGTTCACCCTCATGAAACCTAACTTGATATATGCCCAGCAGTGTGGGAGAAAAGTAACATATGCCTTGTTGTTCACTTACAATAGTGGACTGTAAACGAGTGTTTTCACTTACTTGGTCTGTCCGTTTTACTTTTCCCTAATGTTCTGCAGTTGATTGCTGTTAGCAACAAGATACAGTGGGCTTTGGTCTGGCCAGGTGTGGTGGGTCTTTTGTTCATAGATCACAGAACCATTTGCCGGTACCAGTTACTGTAGCCCCATAATACATTTATGTTATCTTGTCATACTTCTCAAAATAATTGGCCTTGCTGCATCCTTTAAATTGGTTGCTACTGATACTTCACTCTGGATAGCTGAAGGCTTTTTTTACTGATCTGATAGGAGCTGTGTGGAACAGCCTATGGAAAAATTATGTAATGAAACACCATGCTGCCATGGTACCACTGAGTTACGGTTTAAGCTACTGTGGTCACATTGCAAGGGTATAGTGAAGGCTTGGGGTTTTTTCTTAAGTTGCTGCACAAAACTATCTCCCTACTTTTTTTTTTTTCGAAGTACCTTAGTTATTTTATACATGCGGGTGGATGTTGTGTTTGTACTAAAATAGTTTTTAGAGTTCTTTATTAGGGTCTAGGACTTCATTGTCTTACACATTTTTTTTTTCACATAAATTACTAGTTCTCGCAAATACTGAGAAATATTTTTTTCTAAATTATTCTATAAAGGTACTAAAGGAGACTGTTTAGCACCTAACTACTTAAAAGAACAGTATAAATTTTCAAATATTTAAGAATTTGGGATCCATCTTTTGAATTGTTCATAGAATTCTTGGGGTTACACTTGCAACTGAAGTAGAGATTTTTTCCATTAAAGTTGGAAAAATGTTAAATACCTAGGCAGTGTCAGGATAGCTCAATTTAAATCCTTTATTTGAAATGAAGTCTAAATACCACTTTAAAAGTGATGTACCTTTGCAATTCGAAAGGGAAACCCATCATACTTTGTAAGCCTTTGAAAGGCTTATGACTTTTTTAAATGGCTGTCTCGTGTTTTATTGAGCTGTTCTTTGTTGTTTCCATTTATTCTGTGCCACACTTTGGTGTGTAGTAGTACTAGTTTCCCCCCCCGTAAAGCATTATTTTGTTAAATCAGTTACGGATTGCGAACATGTACTTCAGCTTCAGGGTTTTTAGATGAATAACGCTATGACATTCCAGTGACTGAATATGATCTTGTAAGGTACCTTGCTGACTTAATTACAATTGTATTTTTAGGCTCTAAACCAGGTGGTCCTTTGGGACAAGATCATGTTGAGAGGAGATAACCCAAGGCTGTTCTTAAAAGACATGAAGTCAAAGTACTTTTTTTTTGATGATGGAAATGGTCTCAAGTAAGTACATAATTTTTTTATTATTCATGGTGTCTTGATTTACTTGCATACTTTGCATTTTATGTGTTTTTATTGCTGTGGTAAGGTACCTATATTCTATTTGATACTCTGTCAGTCTGTTGCATCTTTGTAGTTTGATTGTTATGAGATGACCTTAGGATACAAGATACCCTATTTCTTCTGTAGACTAGAAGATGCACTGCTAATATGAGCAATAGGGTTCTGGGTTTCTGCTTCCAATATTCTTGTCTGTGTAGAATAGGTTCTGTGATGCACTCAACTCCAAAGGAGCTAGGTAACAGTTTAAAAAAAAAAAAAAAAAAGTGTCTTATCTGGAAAATAGGTAATACTTCATGAAGTAACTTCATAAAAGTAAAAAGCTGATTGTTTCTGCATCAGGAAAACAATTGTATCCTAATTTATTTAATATTAGTAATTATTGATTAAGTTGGTTAACTTGAGTATTTGTGCTGATAGTCTTTGTTGCTTTTGCAGGGGAAACAGGAACGTCACTTTGACTCTCTCCTGGAATGTTGTACCAAATGCTGGCATTCTACCTCTTGTAACAGGATCAGGACATGTGTCTGTACCTTTCCCAGATACCTATGAAACAACAAAAAGTTATTAAATTATAATGCTGAATCCTAAGCAAGATATTTTTATACTTGTATATTGTGAATAAATTTTATTGCAGTTTCTTCTCACATCCCTTGCAACCCTTTGGTGAAAGGTACTTAATTTCCTCAGTTCTAACAGCATAGGAAAAGGAAGTGAAAGTTCAGGGTGGTGGTTTTTTTGTTTTGTTGTTTTTGTTTTTTTTTTTTGAAATAAAACATTGAAGCTGAAACTTAAGGGAAAGGTAGATTGCAGAGTAATGGTTTTGGGGGGGAAACTGAGGATTTTTTTTTTTTTTTTTTTTTCTTCTGGCCGTCTGGTTATAGATCTCTTTTTCTTTTAAATAAACATTTTTAAACCAGAAGATAGTCTTACTGTGGTTTTTTTGAGGTACTGTGGTAGTTATTTAATCTGTGTAGAACTCAGATACACCTTCTGGAGTCAGTTTCTGTGAGTGCCTGAAGGAAATGACTGTTCTGTTTTAAAGCATTTTGCTAAATGCATGCTTAGTGTGTTACAGTAAGGTAAGCTTATTAAGCATAAGTCCGTAAGAAAAGTAAAAGCTTTAGGTAAAGAAACACCATCTACAAAGCAGCCACTTGGTTTTTATTGGGATCTGCTCAGCGGGAAGAATGAACACACTTAGTCCAGAGGGGGCCGGAACAACTAATGTTAGAGGGACCCTTCCATAGCAAGGAATGGGACAGATGTTCTCCAAAACAGTCTGGGAAACATGTAAGAAATAGAGGATTTCCTGTGGGACCATAGAGAAATTTAGACAGATTTACCAGCTTGAATATGGATACGAGTCTACCTGCAAGTCTTCCTGATTGGCATCAGCCAGGAAAGGTAACAAGCCGTGTGTAGCAGCTTCAGCCAGCACTCCGGCTGAAGAAGTGGCCTCTCTGTGGCTGCCCATCTGCTCTTTGTGTCCTCCTTCACTCAGCTACAGCCACAAATGCTTGTCAGAGTTGGGAGGGCAGAAGGAAGAAACAGGGTATCAGGATTGTTCCTTGGCAATATAAACCATCAGGTTTATACTGATCAAGTAGTGTTTCTTGCTCATCCTATATCCAGAAGGAGGAGCACTGGCCACTCTCACCTTCCTGCCGCAGTTTTTGATGTGCATGTATATATTCAAACAAAGTATGGTAGAAGTTAATTTATTGCCAGACATGGAATGTTCTGAATGTGCTGGGGACTTTCCAAAAGGGCAAACGGAGTCTGAAATTAAAACTGATTTTTTTTAATACTGCAAATCAGAAAAAATAATAGGAAAAATTGTGACAAACCTTTCAAAAGAAGAGATGCAAAAGATTGGAGCAGAGTCGCTCCCTTTGTTGTGAGTTCACCTAAGAGCTGGTGGATTTTGAGGAAGCCAGCTTGATTTTAAAATGGATCTTGAATATTTGTGAATTATCCCTAAGTGACGAGTACATTCTCTGTGTTGGTGTATCAATCAAAGAGGCATTAAAAAAAATTCCAAAAAGTGCTTTGTCTTTTTACAAGCAAAATATTGTTTAAGTGTGAAAACTAACAATTATTTTCACAGGAATATTTTAGGAGAATTTTTCATTTGTATACAGCATCTTTAGATGAATCTCAGTTCTCTGAACCTGTGCTGTTTTCCACAGATTAGCATAATCACCACACTGAAATACATCCTATTTTTTCTGTGCTTTGATATCAGATGTATATATTGCTCTAAAAATTTAACTGTTATAGAGAACTTAATACCATCATACAGGAGGAAAACAAGTATTTTTTTTAGAGATAATTGGGCAAAGCTGTGGAGTTGTTTTGTTAATTGCCAAGTAAGTGGTTGGTTTAGTCATAAATTATATTCCTGAAACATTTACTGAAACTTATTTCTCGTGGCTTGGCATTCAACCAGTTCCCTGTATTCCTTTGGCAGTACTCTTCCAATGAATATAAAGGCTGTTTACAAAAGAGGTGCTTTAATGACAAAGACAAGGATCTGCTGTCAAAAAACATCAGAGAGAAATCTACCTTCTTTCCTCCGAAGTGGTACATTCCTCCCAGCAGATAATAGCAGAATTTTAAGACACTAAAACTGTAGCTTCAAACATCGTGCTTGAAGCTTTTCTAGCCTTTCCCAGTGAGGAGAAGTTATGTTTGAGGTAAGCATTTTAGAGGGATGAAGAAGAAACCATCACTGAGTTTATGTTCAAGTTCTTAGGGAGAGCCTGGTTTTATCCAGAGGGAAAGGCCAGCATAGATGAGCACTTAAAGGATACTGTGACAGCTTCCTCTTCCCTCCTCAGCCACCAAGCAGAACGGGATGCTCTCTTCTTCTCTTGGTTCAGGGAGTAAGGAGGCAAATTCCTCAGTTGGTCTCTTTAAAGCCTTTCCACAAGTAAAATGACTCCTGTATTTTGTTGTGACAATTCTCAAACCATTTATAAAAAGCAAGCACTTCTATGGAAACAAATGGCATTTACTTCCTCTTGTCTCTCCTGATACACCTTATAAAAAGAAGTAGTAGTATTGCTGACAGCTGATTGTTCTCTTAGATGTGTTGCTAACTAAATAATGATGTTTTATGCAGTGATGTGTACAAAACGTGTATTCCCTAGCAACTTAATGGGAAAGGACTCAAAACCCTTTTGTAGGGAATTTTAACTGAAAACACTTCTGATGCATTTCAGATAGCAATTCATTGAGGTTCTGGAGACAGGAGTTCTTGTCTGAGGACTGAAAAATGCAAACTGTTAAAATAACCTGGGCTTCCATTTACTGTTGGGAGCACTCAGCATGACACAGAAAGCCCTATGGAGGAAAGGAAAATAACTTTTAAAAATCTGTATTTACAGCTCTGCTCCCCTGTGCATACAGCTTATTTATGGATTGGCACTATAGATACTGAAAATAGACATTGAGAAAATACATTACTTCTAACTATTGGTTGTTTATTCATTTAATAAGTTTCTTCTGAACAATGAAATTAAAGCTAGCTATTATATTGCTTAAAAGCCAGATTCAAGTAGAGTTCCTGCATTATTATTGGATTACAAATATTGAAAATGTTTTTCTTCTGAAAATTATTTCAAGAGGGGTTTTGCAGAAACAGTTCTGTAAAATGAAAGCTATCAGGTATTGGAGGAGCAATCTTACTCCAAATTTGTGTCAGAAAATGCATAGAAAATAACTATTTTTAAGTCTTTGGTGTTCAAGGAATGTTCTGTATTTTGGAAGAAAATTGAGATTTTCTCCATTAAAACCAGTTTAAAACAATTTAAAACATTTTGAACTGTTCATGCAAACAAACAAGTAAACAGGTATATACTCTTTAGCATGAAGAGTCCCATTCTAAGCACACAGGTAAATGCTCGTATTACAGTAGTCACATCAGGCATATTTTTATTAAACAAAAAAAAAAAAGCCCCAAAACCTAGCTTGGACAGGCCAAACTGCTGCTGGATCCTTTTCTGGTGCCCTCCACCACTTCCCTGGGACTATTTTTGTGAATCTGCACGTTCTTGAAGAGATGAGGCACTGATAAAGACAAAGTAGGCGTTCCATTGTTAAAGGTTTTTTTCCCTTAATATTGTGTCACAGTAATAATTCCTTTTGTGCAAGTTATTATTTAGTTTATCCACTAATAGTTGTTCTTAATTAGCAATTTTTAATTTGCTTTTGTTTTACGTGGAAAGATAGTCAGAATTTTCTCTCTCTCTCTCTCTTTCTTCTGCTTACTCCAAACTCCAACAGAGTTGCATTTATGATTTCTTTTTCCAAACGCTAATGGTCTAATAATGAAATTCTAAATCCTCTATGCATAAGCTACTGAGAAAACAAAACAAACACACTCCCCCCGGCCTTTGAATCCGTAGTTACATTATCCAGACTTACAAGCTATTGATTCAAAATAAAAATAATGGAGCCAAATGTATCATTAAGAGAATATTTCAAAACTCGGATATGGTCAAAAGTGCTGCCTGACCTCCTGATCCCTTCCCCCTGCCCCAGCTCAGTGCTAATGGTGCACACCAAAGTCACCTGGAACTATCCTCTGCTTTCCAGCTGTATCCCCTTGTGCCCATTAGCAGTGCTCCAGGCCATAAATTCTGAAGAAATAACTAGCACTTCTTTAAAATCATAAAACTGGCAGAAATGGATTAGAGAGAATATATGTATTTCCAGTGCTAGAGGACCATGACAGTGAGTAAGCGTGTTTGTAGTCTGAAGACATATTTATATTACATAAATAACTTTGTTAACAGCAATTGTCATTTATTTTGCCGTTCTAATCCAATGACTTCCGAGTGCTTTATGAGAAAAATCTGTATTTATTCCTAGAAAGAGGCTGGCATTCTTAAGCCACACTGGAAGTGCTTTTGCAAGAGATGGTCTCAAAAATATTATCTGGCAGTAGCTAGAAATGCCTGGGGCAGCCTGCTGTGGGCTTTGTACCACCTGGCTGCACAGGTGCTTGGCAGGCAGAAGGGGTAATTGGGGACTCCTAATTGGGGGCTGCCTTTGCAGAACCAGGCTTTGGACTTCACGTGGAGCTGCTTCTGTGGCGCAACAGGGACGACAGGTATGGTGCTGTTAATTCATTCTGCCTCCTTGCGCGGTCTTCCTTCTTGCTTTGTCGGCGTTTGTTTTTTCCCCCCCGAGTGAAGTGACTGCTATGGCCCTGGGTGCTCATGCTGAGGTGAATGAGTTGGGTTTGGTACACAGGAGAGGTTTCAGAGCGCAGTGATAGGAGCTATTGCGAGCAAAAGAAGGGGTCTGGATGTGGCTACGGAAGATCAGTTCAGAAATGAGTGGTTTAAGTGTAAAAAATATTTGCCTTTAAGAATGACTTGCATTAGATGCAGTTATGAGTGGCTGACAAGGCAGGCAGACAAAAGAGCTCTTTTTTGTGTAAGTTTATAATTGAACATTAAGATAAAACTAGTTTAACTGTGATTGGAAAGCAATGAGATTGTCTGTGGCTGCTTAAGTCTCTTTTTCTCCCCCCACCCCCCCATTCTACTGTTATTTCTAAAAGGTAATTTTCTTCCTGTTTTATCTCTTCCTTCTTTTCCCTCCCAATTCTGAAAGAAGGAGGGGGTCAGAGTTTCTATCTCTTCCCTGCCCTTCCAGCCTCCATCTCTCATTAAATACTACTTGTTCATTTATTTTTTGCTTTAGGAATCAGCATAGTAAGATAACAGAGCTGGGCACTGGTACCTGCAATCTAGCTGCTATGTGGCAACAGCCAACACTAGCACCCTTCTTTTTAAGGATTGGGGTTTTTTACATTTACAAATGTTAAGATTAAAAAGTAAAGTGATTTGTACAATTTCAAGCTGTAATAAAATTATTTAAAATTACATATCTCATCAGATGTATTAT